TAATGCCCGGTAGCCCCTCGTGCTGCCCTGGGACTGGGACCGCCGCCCCCCCGCTCGGTACCGCCCCCGGGGGGGGTCGAGTCCCGGTGTCCCCGGTGACTGGTCGTGTCCCCACAGCCACCCCCGAACCTGCATGAAGTGCGGGCAGGGCACGGCCGCCCTCATCATCCGCGTCGGGGACCCCTTCTGCCGGTGAGGGATCGGACGGGGACAGTGGGATGGGGGACATCAGGCTGGGGGGTATTGGGTGTTCGGGATGTTTGGGCTTGGGGACACCGGGACTTGGGGATATTGGGACATCAGGGCTTGGGGACTTTGGGGTTTGGGGACATTAAGCCTTGGGGACATTGAGTCTTGAGGATGTGGGAAATTGGAGACATTGGGTCTTGGGAACATGGGAGCCTGGAGATGTTGTGTCTCATGGACCTTTGTTTCTGGGACATTGGGTCTCAGGGAAGTGGGGGCTTGGGGACATGGGGTCTCTGAGGCATCAAGTCTCAGGGACGTTTGGTGTCTGGGATGTTGGGACTTGTGGACATGGGATCTCTGAGACATTGGTCTCAGGAAAAAGGCTGGGAGTGGGGGACTTGAGGACGTTGGGGCTCAGGGACATGGGGCCTGGGGGCAGTGGAACAAACTCAGGGGTTCCCACAGCGGCTGCTTCCGTGAGTACTTCGTGCACAAATTCCGTGCAATGCTGGGCAAGAACCGTGTCATCTTCCCGGGAGAGAAGGTACCAGGGGTGGGGGAATGCAGAGGGGGGACCCAGTGGTGGCACCAGGGCCGGTGACTGTCCTTGCTGTTCTCGCAGGTGCTGCTGGCGCTGTCGGGGGGCTCAGCCTCCAGTGCCATGGTCCGGCAGGTGCAGGAGGTGAGAGGGGGGCTCGGGAGGGGTCAGTGGGGGGGGCCAAGCTCACCCACCCTGCTCACCCTGTGCCTCTGACAGGGGCTCAGCCGGGAGGCGGCCAAGAGGCTCCGCTTCATCCCCGGCCTTGTCTACGTTGAGGGTAAGGATGAGCCCTACTACCTGCTCCGTGTCCAACTGCCCATTCCCAGACCTGTTCCCAGCCCATTCCTGGCCCTGCTGCATGCTCAGTGTCCAACTGCCCATTCCCTGTCCTGCTACCTGCTCTCAGCTCTGCTTCCCCTTCCCTTCCCCTGTGTCTGTTCCCTGCCTCACTGCCTGCTCCTTACCCTATTTCCGGCCCCACTGCCTGCTCCCAGCCCCAGTGCCTGCTCCCTGCCCCATTCCCAGCCCCACTCCCCCCTCCCTGCTCCACTACCTGCTCCCAGCATAGGATCCCACTGCACCATGCCAGACCCAGGGTGCTGCCACCCAGCCCAGCAAGGCTGTGGCACCCTGGGTTGTCCTCCTGGCCCCATGGGTGTGGTGGGTGCCCCCTCCTCACCGTGACAGTGGCCCTGGCACTGCCCACCTGCCTTCCAGAGGGAGCTGTGCGCAGGCAGAGCCCAGAGCAGCGGGAGCAGACCCTGGCCCACATGGAGACCCTGCTGCGGGCCACTGGCTTCCCCTACCACGTGATCCACCTGGAGGAGGTATTGAGGTGACATGGGGACAGGCGCTGAGGTGAGGGGACACAGCTGGACACCCCAACTTCCCCCTGTATCTATTTCTGCCCCACAGGCACTGGAGCTGCCCCCATCCATCTTACAGCCGGGGCCAGAGCAGTCCAGCAAGTCCGGCCCATCTGGCCCCTCCTACAAGGAGGCTGTGGACAGCTTTATCCAGCAGAAGCGACAGGAGGGGGAGGGGGACAGTGCCACCTCTCTGCCTGGCCATAGCACCCAGGACATGCCAGTGGGACCCCCATACACTCCCCGCCTACCTGACACTGCCCAAACCCAGGAGCTGCTTCGGATCTTCGAGGCCGTGGAGACAGCAACAGCACGGGAGGAGCTGCTGCAGATGCTGCGGTGAGGGGCTGATCCTGCCCGGCTCCAGCACCAGCGTGGCATGGCGGCTCTGAACCGGTGTCACCTCATCCCCAGGACCCACCTCATCCTGCAGATGGCCCGGAGCAGGGGCTACTCCAAGGTGATGACGGGCGAGACCTGCACCCGCGTGGCCATCAAGCTCCTCACCAACCTGTCGCTGGGCCGTGGTGCCTTCCTTGCCGTCGACACGGTGAGCTGGGGACAGTCACCTGCACCCGAGGGGTGACATGATTCCATGGAGGGTATCCAAGGCTTGGTGGTGGCACAGTCCCCTGGCAGCCACACACCCACAGGGCTTCACGGACAAGCGTCACGGCGATGTGATGGTGGTGCGGCCCATGCGGGACTACACGGCCAAGGAGATCGCCTTCTACAACCACTTCTTCAACATCCCCACCGTCATTGTGCCACCCCTCTTCACCAAGGTAGGGGTGGCCCGTGTTGGGGATCCCAAGCTGTGTCTCCATGGTGGGGACAAACCTCCCAGTCTTGCCCCTACCCTCTCCACTTGCCCCCACAGCGCCGGGAGAAGCCCAGCATCCACCACCTGATCGAGCGCTTCCTCCTGGGGCTGCAGGAGGATTTCCCCTCCACCATCAGCACTGTTTACCGGTACAGGGACCTCCATGTGGAGGTACAGTGGGGTGGGGGGAGTGAGTGGGGGATTGGGGTGCACTCACCCTGTGTTGGCTGCAGGACAGGGGAGAAGCTGAGCCCAGACCCAGCCAAGGCCAGCAGCGAGTCCCAGCGCTGCCTCCTCTGCCTCTGTGGCCTGGACATTGAGGGAGGTGAGTGGGTTGGGCATGGGGGGCTCAGAGGATTTGGGGAGCAGCTGTGCACCCCACAATTGCCCCCCTGCCCTCTGGCTCTTGCAGAGGAGGAGTTGGCCCTGGAGCCCACACTGATCTGGGAGGAGCTGGAGCCAGTGGGGAATGGGTGCTGCCAGCAGGGGTGAGCATGTGGGCAGGGGGGATTCCAGCATTCCATACCCCCTCCGAGGCCACCCCAGTGGCACCAATGAGTGTCCCTGTCCTTGTCGCTGTTCCCACAGGGCTGAGAGCAAAGCTGCCTATATTCCACTACTGTGCTACAGTTGCCGCCTCACCTTCAAGGAGCTGGTGAGGCTTTTGAGGTGCAGTGGGGTGGTTCTCCATGGGGATGGGGATCTCCAGCCTCACCACTCGTCTCTTGCAGGGCCCCCTCACCACACTGCCACCGTACATGCGTGCTGAGGCCCAGCGCAGGATCCACAGGTAAGGGGGGTGGGAGTCCCCTCCCCACTAGCTCAGCCCCCAATGCCATGTCCATCCATCCAGTGTGTCCATCCCTTGCAGTGCAGAGATGGAGCAGCAGACACAGGAGAACCAGGAGCGCAGCAAGAGCTGAAGGGGTTGGGAACAGTGGGGGACACAGACTCCCGTCCCTCAGTGGCACCTCTGGGGCAGGTGCCAGAGCTTGGTGGGGACCCCTGGCACCCATTTCTGCTCCAGCCAAGGGCAGGGAGAGCCCCCACCCCCCCATTTACTGGGGGCCAGGAGTGCTGGTAACCCCAGGGTAGCATGTCCCTGGTCCCCCCACCCTCCCTGCCCCAGCTACCTGTCAGCCAGGGAGGCCTCAAGTTTGTTTTATTCAATATCTATATAAATAAACCATTTGAATTAATAAAAAACAAAAACAAACTCGAAGTCAACAAGTGTCTAAAGTCCAACTGGGGTTGCCAGAACCCCTCCCCCCTGGAGGGGCCATAACTCAGGACCCCCATCCTGGAGATGGGGGGGCTATTGCTTTTGAGTTCAACCTGGTTCTGGAACAGGGTTGGGGACAACAAGGGAGAGGGTACAGGCTGGCTCCTGACTTCCCCATCCCCCCCTGGCAGCCAGGGGCACCCAGGGGGTGGGGGGACCACCTGCTATCCCCCTCCCTGGGAAGGCACAACGTGGTCTGTGCAGGTGGAACAGCTTCAAAACAACGTAAGAAAAACATCCAGAAAAACATGCTCCCTCAAAGCGAGCGGCCAGAACCCCACATCCCACCGCCTCCTGGGGCAGGATGCGGCCCCAGCTTTGGAGGGGCTGGTTAAGGCATTGGCGGTGATGCCCCTGTGAGGGGGGGGGCTGGAGCCCCTTCCCCTTATTACTTCTCCCGTGTCCACTTGATCATGGTCTCGGGCGAGCGGTAGAGGAAGATGAGCTTGGCGTAGAGCTCTTCCTCCAGCTCCAGCTCGCCCGTCTCCCGCACCAGGAAAATATCCTGGCACAGCTTCAGGATCCGATCCACACACGGCAGCTCCTCGAACATGATGGAGTGAGAGATCTCACTGAAGAACCCCCGCACGAACTTCCCGATCACCAGCACGATGGACACGTACAGCCCCATGACCCTGCAAGGGGGACACACATCCTGTATCCCTGAATCCCACCATCCCTTCCCTTCATGCCCCACCCGGTGGTTGGAGCCCCCCAACACCCTCTGCCCCCTTCACGTACCCATAGCCAGCCAGGAAGCCCAGGCTCGGGGGGCTGACTTTGTCGTTGAAGATGATCATGGGCAGGATGTTGCCATCCTCGGGGGGGGCGTCTTTTAGCCGCAGCACCCACCACTCCACAAAGTTGTCGCTCCCTCGGCCCCTGCGCTCCCGTTTCAGCTGCACCTCCACATCCAGGTAGCTGTCGTGGCCATCTGGGGGGGTGACACCATCAGGGCACAGCCTGGCTGCTGTGCTCTCAAGGATGAGTTTTTGGGGGAGGACATGGTGGGACTCATGTCCTCCCCATCTTCAAGGAGGTGGCACCATCAGCGACCAGCACAGCTGCTGGTGTGTCCCCAGTGCTGACTTTTATTGGGAGGGGGAAATAGTGGGACTCATGTCCTCCCCATCTGCAGGGCAGTTGGCACCATCAGGGCACAGCATGGCCACTAGTGGGCACCCAGTGATGATTTTTTCAGTGGAGGGACTTGGTGGGACCCATGCCCTCCCTGTCTGCAGGGAGTGGCACTATCAGGGCAGAGCACAACTGCTGGTGGGCACCCAATGATGAATTTTTTTAGGGCGAGGGCACACTGGGACTCATGTCCTCCCTGTCTTCAAGGGGATGGCACCATCAGGGCACTGTACAGCAGCTGGTATGCCCCAGTGCTGATTCTTTTGGGGGGTCATGGTGGGACCTACCTGGCAGGAGCTGCTCGACAGGTTCGGCGTCAACATCGTTGGGCGCCCGGACGTATTTGGGGAATAGGTTGGCCACTTCGCTGCAAGAAAGTGGGGTGAGGAGGGGGGTTACACCATCCTGCCAAGCATGGGGGTCTGGTTCCCCCCCTCCTCAGGGGACACTCACACGGGGGCATCCCGGGTGCCCTCCAGCAGCTGGGCCAGCTGCAGGCGCTCGGGTGCACCGGGCACCAGGTCGGTGCTGTGCTTGTCAAAGGCGGTCTCCACCGTGCCCCCCTTGCCCAGATCCCTGTGGACAGTAGAGACTGAGCGTGTGTAGGGGGGATGCAGGCAGGGCTGGACCCCCCCTTGCCGTGCCAGCAGTACCTCTGGAAGGACCAGGAGAAGCGGACGGTGATGTCGGAGGAGCTATTCAGCAGCTCCTGCCCGCATCTGCTCGCGGCTGGGGGGGCTGACGCTCCAGAGTGAGCCCGAGCTGCCCTCGATGTGGACGGTCACGATGTCCTCGTAGCCGTAGAGGGTGATGAACTGCATAGCCACCTGCCGTGGGGGGGACACAGCTCAGCCCCACCATGGCATCTGCCAGCCCCCCAGGCAGGTTTTGGGATGGGGGGAGGATTTACCGGGTCATGGTCGAAATGCCGGGTGAGGTCTTCGTAGTCATCGGGGGTGAAGGGCTTAATGGATTGCTGCTGGGCGCTCATGGTGAACAGTGGCTAGGGGGGACAGGGGGCCATGAGCAGGGCAGGGGACCCCAGTGTCTCATCAGGGGACCCCCAGCACACCCCCTACGTATCCTCACCTCATACCCCCCCAGCTGGAGGGTGACAGTGACGTCAATGGGGTGGTTGACAATGCCCACCACGGAGCGCACCAGCGACATGAAGAGCAGGGGGAACCAGATGATGCACACGAGGAAGAGGATGATGAGGCCCCCCATGCCATACTTCACAACCTTCTTCTTCTTCTGCCCCTTGGGCTGGGGGTATTTCTGGGATGGGCAGGAGACAGCACACAGTGTTGAGAAGGTGCAGGGGGACCCCAAAGAACAAGAGGCTTAGTGGGGGGCCCTTCCTGGCACAGGGGGGACTGTACCTTCTCAGTCTCACGGCTGCACTTGATGATGAAGATGTTGGCATAGATGTCCTCCACACACATCCAGTTGGAGAGAGACAGCGTGGTGTCCGTCCAGACCCAGTCCATCACAGCGCGCAGCTCCACCAGGAAGGGCACAAGGCGAAATCTGGGGGGGACACAGGGAGGGGAGGTGGTATGGCACCCTTGGGGTGCCTGGACGTCCACGCAGCCCTGTGCCGTACCCCTGGAAGAGGAAGAGGTTGAGGTAGTTGTATTTCTTGGTAAGGAAGTTGCCCAGGATGCGGGTGGGGTAACCGCAGCGGATCTGGTAGGCCGACAGCGCAAAGTAGATGCACTTCACGAAGTACCATAGCTGGGCCACCATGTTGAGGTTGAACAACCTGCAGGAGGGACATGTCACCCCTCAGCCACCTGTCCGGCCAGCCTGGGCCACCGTGTGGGCTCAGGGACACAAAGGTGCCACCCAAGGACTACACTGTGCCATGGCAGGGCATCCTTAGGGGATTCTCAGTACCTTTCAGTGACCGCTGGCACAATAAAGAACATCCAGACGTGGATGCCAAAGACCAGGACGACCTGGAATATGAGCTTGCCCAGCACAGTTTTGCGGAGGTAGAGCGCGCGGTCGATGATCATGGTGGTGAACTGGAAGAGCAGCATGACCAGGAAAGCCTGCGGCACTTGGTTTTCTGACAGCGAGGAGGTGATGTCGGTGGCCGCCGTGTGTTTCTGAGATCAGGAGAGGTCAGCATATGGTCAGGCCTCACCCTGCAGTGGGGGCTTGCCGGTCAGTGCCCTGCAGGACCCCTTGCTCACCCCGAAGGCCCAGAAGCCAAAGACGATGATGATGAAGTCGACCACGTCGACCAGGAACATGAAGGCGTAGACATCGGTGGCCGCGCGGTTCTCGGTGTGCAGAATGTCCTTGAAGAATTTGCGCACCGGCTGGTACATGCTCTGTGCTCTGCAGGGGACAGGGGACACAGGGGACACAGGGAATGGTTGACAGGGGCTGCACCCCACATCCCCCACCCTAACCAGTGCCACTGGCACTCACGTGGTGAGGAAGAAGCACTTGACCCACAATCCAAATGCGTTCAGCTTCCTCTGAGCATGGCTCTCTTCTGCCTCTCCCGTCTTCTCCCCAACCCCTGGAAGTGAGGCTAAGCACACAGAACAGTTAGGGTCCAGCAGGGCCCTACTGTGGCGGTGCCAGCCTTGCCACCCTTGTGAGAGCAGGGAACTGGTGCTCCCTCTCTCTGGTGTATTCCTCCCCTGAGCCGTCTTCTTCCTGCAGCGGAGCTCCATGGCCTCACTCCCCTCTTCCTGCTCCATGGCATCACCCTCCGACTCCGATCTCATGTTTGAGTCTGGTGCTCCTGGCTCTTCTGAAGCCTCCATCCCTTCCTCAGACACCATCAGCGATGGGGGCGCTGCTTCCTCCCACTTCTCCTCTTCCTCTGCCCACTTCGCCTCCATCTTCATCTTGGATAAGGAGTCCTCATCATAGTCCCACAACCCATAGCCCTGTGGAAGGACATGGTCAGGGGGATGGGGGTCCTGATGTCCCCCAGCCCCACGCACCTCATCCCCCACCCACAGCATCAATTCCCAAAAAGCAATGGTGGGAAACCACAACAGAGACACCAAGCACCCACTGGTTCTCTTCAGAGCTCCCAGGACCACCTCCAGCTCCCACAAAACGCCCACCCACACGTTGCCCATGCCTCAGAGCTCACCTGCAGCAGGGAGCGATGGAAAAAGAGGGCCAGGAGCTGGAAGAGGTCATACTTGAGGTAGCGGGTGCTCTTCTCCAAGCCCAGGATGCGTGGTGGGAAGAAGGGCTTGCCCTCATTGCGCAGCAGTATGGTGTAGCTGTTCCAGGGGAAGAACCCGAACTGGAAGAGGTATTTCACCAGCAGCATCACCTATGGGGATGCTGGGGTCAGTGGGTGGCAGTGGGGGGCCGGGTGGCACCATCCCCTCACCGGTCACCCCCTGCCCACCTCAGTGAAGATGATGGCAGTCATCCAGAAGCGCTTGGTGGGCCGGGGGATGGAGAGCATGGCCCAGAGGAAGATGAGGATGGGCAGAAAGAGGGAGATGATGGAGGCGGACACTATGTTGTTGAGGATGATGATGAAGTAGCAGACCAGCTCAGAGTGGGCGGTCACACAGTGGTACCCAGCCAGGAGCAGCTTCAGGAACCGGTTGTGGGACTGATAGAAAAGCTCTGCCTCCTTCAATGGTGGAGTGATTGGCTTCCTGCAGGGTGCAGCAAACAGGCTGAGCCATCCCTGCCGCCCGCCAGCCCCGTCCCCACTGTCCCCACTGTCCCCACATCCCCTGTACCTGATCAGGAGGAGCTCACCGGCCGTCCTCCTGCGGTTCAGGAGCACGGACAGGCGCTGCCGAGACCCAGCCACATCCTCTTGGGACCCCTCAGACATCACCTGCTCCTGGCTGCCCTCAGGGGGTGCGAGCCCCGCTGTCTGCGGCACTGCCAACTGCTCCCTTGGGGAGTCTCTCTGCGCCTGCCTGGCAGCAGCGCCGTTTTGGGAGTCTGTAGTCAAAGACCTGTGTGGGCTCAGCTCCTCTGGGGGCCCCTCTGGGGGCCCCTCAGGCGGCTGCTCTGGCGTCTGCTCCGGCGTCTGCTCTGGCATCTGCTCCAGTGGCTGCTCCATGTACATTTCATCCAGGATCTCCTCGTTCATCTTCTGTCCCTGCAGTGGGCAGGGGGTTAGTGCCACCGCAAGGCTGCCACCTCCCCGCCCCGTGCCCTGGTGTCCCCCCTGTGCTCACAGAGGCCAGCCGCACAGCAATCCTATATCTCTCCACATATAGGATATTGAACATGTCCAGGTATTCCCGGGTGCAGTCCTCCATCCACTGCGTCAGCCCGTCCACCACGGCCTGGCACAGCAGCCACAGGAACCGCAGCATGTTCAGTGCCCGATGCAACACATTGCTCTGCTCTGCCAGGGCAAAAAGAGGGGTGGAGCATCACTCGGTGTCCACTCAGACCACCCAGCATGCCCCTGCTCTGCAGTCCTGCTGCCCACCTGCAGACAGACCAGAACCTGTCACAGTCACTTCCTCCTCATGCTCAGGCTCTTCAGCTTCCAACTCTGCCTCTCTCCTTCCACGGTCTCCTGCAAGGGTCAGACCCCCAGGGAAGGGGTAGCAGTGACTTAACAGAAGATAGACATAATTTTTGGGCCTCTCCCATTCATCATCCCACCTCTTGTTCCCCTACATCCACCTCAAAAAACAGTGTGGGCACCAAAGAAACTGCACAGCTTGTGCTCAACCCCATGGTAGCCATCAGAGAGTCCACACACACACTGGGAGCCCCACTGCCAGGACAAACAGCGGGCACCAGGCAGGGCTCTGGCCCCTCCAGCCCTCTTTTGGGGTGTCAGACCCACCTGCAGCACTCTCAGCACGGGGTTGCTCTCGCCGTTCCTGCTGCCGGAGCACTGTCTTGGTGTTGGTTGTCATGGCCTGGTGGATGAGCTGGAGGGGGGACAGGGGCCATCAGCACCCTGTGGGCATGGCCAGCATCCCCAACCCCACCACAGCCCCCCAGCCTTGCCCACCTGGAAGGGGCCCTGCCTCCCCGACTGCAACTCCTCTGGCACCTCCTCCTCCTCCTCCTCGCTGTCCGACTCAAAGAGGTAGTATTCCCCAGAATGCAGCACTGCCGGGGTTGCATGGGGTGTCACGGCGTGGCCATGCTATGGCAGGGGTGTCACACCCAGGCTGGCCCTGTGGCCATGTTGCAGGGCTCCCTGCCCAGCACTGAGCTGAGGACACCCCTGGGGGGGACCCCAAGTGGGGATATAACCAACTCAACTGCCACATCCCCAAGGCGGGACCCCTCCGTCACCAGCATTTGGAGGTGACTCCAAACCCAGCCTGGCACCCCCAGTCCAACACCCTGTTAGTAATGGGGAGCAGAGGAGTCGTGGTTAGGGGTACACACACGGGGACAGGGGACATGCAGGGTGTCACCTTGCCCAAAGCACTGCCACCACCGCTCCCCACGGGTGTTAGTGGTCCCGGCAGGGGGACCTCACCGAGGTTATGGCCCCGTTATGGCCCCGTGCCAGGGCAGTACCTCCGGCGTGGTCTAACCCTGGCCGCCACCACCGCTCCCTCTGCCAGAACGGGTCCGCCGGGGCACGGGGTGCTGTGGGATGGCAGATGGAGGGCTGAGAACAGCCACGCTCGATGCACCCACCCCAGGTGTGGGGGGGAAGCCGAGGGACAGGGAGAGGGTCACCACAATGCTCCATGAGGCTCCACCAGGATGGGTGTCAGCGATGGGTCACAGTCCCCCTGTGTGCCCAGAGAGGGGTTGGGGACACAGGAGGGACCCCCTGGCTCTCACCTGTCCCAGCCTCATCCTGTTCCTCAGTGATGCTACGGGACAGCTGCTCCTGCCGGTACTTGTCCTGCTTGGCTCGGATCCGCTCCATCCTGGAGGCAGAGGATGCTGTGGAGCCTGCTGTCCAAACTCCCCCCAGAGGCACCCCCACATACACAGAGGTGCCCCAAAGCATTGGTGGCTGCAGGGAAGGGGGTCCCAGTGCCCCCCAAAAGCCACTCACTGCCGCTTCAGCTGGGCCAGCGACTTCCTCTCGGCTCTTCGGTGGGCGTGCAGGTTCTTTGCGATGCTGGCCTGGAACAGCACAACACCCCTGTGGGGACAGGGACGGTGGGAGGGTCAGAGGGGTACTTTGGCACCTACAGGGACCCTCCAGGACCCCAGCACCACCTGGAAGGCTGCAGGGTAGAGGCCCTGAGGTCCCACAGGATGTGCACGTAGTAGCTGCTGAGGAAAATACGCCGCTGGACCAGTAGGAAGAAGAAGCAGATGCTATCCAAGATGATTCCTGCCTCCTCCACGGGCAGTGAGCAGTCAAGGTCCTTGCCCATCTCCTTGGCTGACAGGTAGAGGTGCAGGCAGGTCAGGCAGCAGCCCAAACCCACACCCCCAAGGCCACTAGACCCCCCCAGACCAGCAGCTCACGGTCATAGTAGCCCGTGACGGTGCAGACGAGGCTGAAGAGCTGGATCACCCAGCAGAAGTTGTTCTGCATCTGATGCACAAAGACGCAGGAGAGGAGCTGCAGGGAGAGAGGGCCCACGTGGGGTTTGTCACCACCTGTCCCCTCCCCAGGGGACACCCCAGGTGACTCCAAGGAGCCCACAGCAGAGGCAACGACTCACCGACAGCATGTTTTTGGAGATGATGACTGTGATGTTGTAGAGGATGAGGCAGTCCCAGACCACCAGGCGGGGTCGGGTCGGCTTGCACAGCATGGCCGTGCCAAAGAGGAGGAGGTAGAAGCAGGCCAGCAGGTAGCCGAGGCCAAAGAGGCTGATGCGGTTGGACCCGGTGATGAAGATCACCACCAGCACGAACCAGAAGAGATGGCGAAAGATCACCACCTTCACCATGTCCAGGTAGCACCTGCGGGATGGGGCACTCAGAGCACAGGCTCTGTCCCCTCCATGCTTCAGCCATGGGGTGGTCGTGTCCCAGCACTGGGGCAAGGGCTTCCCTGCCCCAAGGGGGTCCCAGTCTCATCCTAGGAGATCCCAGCCCAGCAGCTCCTACTGCCTGACGGTCCCATCCATCCTGTCCATACCCTAAGGAGCCCCATTTCAGGGTGGAGGTCCCATCCTGGTGGCAGCCTCATTCTGTCCATACCCCAAAGGGTCTCATCCCAGGGGAGCATCCCATCCCGGAAGGGTCCCATCTTGTCCATACCCCAAAAGGTCCCATCCCAGGGGAGGTCCTATCCTGTCTATACCCCAAGGGGTCCCATCCCAGGGTGAGTTCTCATTTCCAGCCCACAAGGGTTGCCACCCCGGGTTGGGGTGCTGTGCCGCAGGCACCCACCGGCAGAGGAGAAAGTTCTCCTGGGGGTTGTAGGGGTCCTTCTCGTGGTCGAACCGCTCCTCGTTGTCGCCTGCTGCATCCTGCCAAGCCTTAGAGCGCTCGGCCTCGAACACGCGCCACTGCTGCGCCGCGCACAGCAGCAGCAAGAAGTCGTCTGTGGGCACACGGCTCAGGCTGGGGGGCTCCCCAGAATGCTGGCACCCACCAAGCTCCTCCTCAAGGAATGGGGCACCCCAGGCCACTCCTCCCCAGGACTTGGGGTTCATTGTCTTCCCCATGCCGGTGTGGTTTTCCCCAGGCTCTGCCCCCTCTGAGGTGTGGCTTGAATCCAACTCCTCACATAGGGGTGTGGAGCTCTCCAGGCCCCTCCTTCTCTCCAAAAGAGCGTGTGGCTCCAACACACTCCTCCCCAAAAGGGACACGGATCTCCCATAGCTCCCATAGATCTCCCATCTCCCATAGCTCCTCCCAAATGGGGGTGGGTACTGTTTAAGCCCCACCTCCAAGGGGGGCAGACTCTTCAAGGTCCTCACACCCTTACTGCCTGTTCTTCCACCTCCTGGAAGCAGGATGGGACCCCTATAGTGGCTGGGGGTGCTCCAGGGGCACTGGGGTGCCAACGGCTGGTGTAGGGGGACAGGGCACCCTGCAGGCAGGGGGCTGCCAGGACTGGAGTAGGGTGACAGGGCAATCCACACGCAGAAGATTCCCAAAGGCTGGGGGGATACTCACTGATGAGATTGGTGGCTTTGGGGGGCATGACGAAGTCAGGCAGGTAGAGCCACTTGATGAGCGCCGAGTTCATGGGGACATTCCATCGCCATGGATAGTCTGAGGGGCAGCAGGAACACCCATGCCAGCCACCTCCTCCAACCCCTTCACAGGCTCCCCACACATGGACCACACCTCCCTGAGCCCCAGAAAGGCCCCCTGTGCCCCTTACCCCTGCAGAGGGCGGGTGGCATGCCCACGCACAGCAGGTACTGGTAGAGGAAGAAGATGACGAGGAAGAGGCAGTACTTGGGCCAGAGGCGGGCGATGGCTGCCCGGCGCCGCAGTGTCATCATGACCACAAGCCAACAGCCGTGCAGGATCACCAGGAAGTTCATCCGCTGCCCGATTACGGTCACCATCATCAGGAAGCAGATCTGGGGGGCAAGGGGGTGCAGAGGCTCAGCACCGGGGTGCAGTGAGCAGTGGGACCCCCCCACAGTGCCCTGCTCCCACCTCCAAGCCAAACTTGTAGTAGAAGTAGTTGACTAAGTATTTGGCACATGAGACGAGGTTCCGGTCGCGGTCTAATTTCTTGTCCGTGTTGGTGTTCCTGCCTGTGTCCTTCTCCCTGTCCGTGTCCCTGCCCGTGTCCCTGTCTGTGTCCATGTCCATGTCCCTGTCCATGTCCCTGTCCATGTCCCTGCCCATGTTCGTGTCCCTGCCCATGTCAGTGTCCCTGCCCATGTCAGTGTCCCTGTCCATGTCCCTGCCCATGTCCGTGTCCCTATCTGTGTCCCCGCCTGTGTCCGTGTCCCTGCCCGTGTTCGTGTCCGTGTCCTTGTTCTCATTTGGCTCCGGGAAGATGGTCTCAGTGATGGGAATCGTCTCATGGTGCTGCACACGGTGGTACTGCTGGCGCCGGTACACCACTGCCTCGAACACCAGCAGCAGCAGCACCTGGAGGTGGTTCTGGGGGAAGAGGGAATGTTCAGGACCATGGCGTGACACCAGGCATCCCCCCCCCAGCCGGTCCTCCTAAAAGGGGATGTTTGGGACTGTGACATGAAGGCAGTCATCCCCTTAGGTGGTCCTCCCAGAGGGAATGCTCAGGGCCACAGTGTGCCACCAAGAATCCCCCCAGGTGGTCCCCACGGAAGGGATGCTCAAGACCATGGCATCACACCAGGCATCCCCCCCCAGGCAGTCCCCACAATGTCCTCGTGCCCACCTTGACATATCCGAGGTGGGGGAACCCCTTCCGGACACCAAACCAGTTGGCAGGATCCACGGGGCCACGGTACAGTGTGGAGTTGCTCATCTCCTCCCGACTCAGGTTGGTGGCATTGAGCAGGGGCTGCAAATGGGAGCACCCCGGGTATCAGACCCCACCTCCAGCAAGGAAACCTCCTTGTGCTGCCACAAGCACCCCAAGAACCAGCACCCGGGGCACCTGAGTGCAGTTGCTGGAGTACTCGCGGGGCTCAACGATCTCAAGCTGGTAGAGCATCTTGCAGACGATGATGACGCAGGTCCAGACGGTGGAGAGGCACGAGGCCATGCGGCGGAAGCGGCAGTAGGGCATGGCGAGGGTCCACAGCAGCACCAGCAGGAAGTTCATCACCGAGACCTGGGGCAGTGGCCATGTCAGCACCCTGGGGTGCCAGGCCGAGCCCCCCAGCCCAGCACCTTGAGTGGTACCTCCTCCAGGGCCACCCAGACGGTGTAAAGAGCCACCAGCTTGAGGATGTGCAGCTCCAGCAGACGCCTCACAAAGACCTCCACGCGAGTCAGCATGTTCGAGAAGGTCTGGCCCAGCACGGCCAGGCGCTCCAGAACCAGCTTCCATTTGTTGGTTGCTGTGGGGACACGAACCCTCGTGGACACCCCCACAGCCACTCAAGCCCAGAGGACACCCCAACCCATCCCTCTATCCTTCCTCGCTGGCAGAACATCCCAATCCATTCCCACAATTCCTATACTTGGAACACACTCCAATGCTGCATCCTCCAGCCAGTTCCTGGCTCAGAGGACATCCCTGTATCCTTCCAGACTTGGAGGAGACCCCCATAAATCCCTGCACCCCCCAACTCCCATCCTGGCTTGCAGATCACCCTAATCCATCCCCATACCCTCCCAGCTCCTTTCTGGCTTGGAGGATGCCCCAACCTATCTGTGCTTCCCTCCTGCCCCATCCTGGTTTGCAGGACACCTCCATACCCTCCCAGCCCCTTCCTAGCTCAGAGGACATCCCAGTCCATCCTCATACCCTCCCAGACTTGAAGGAGATCCCAGTCCATCCTCATATACTCCTAGCTTCTTCCTGACTTGGAGGATGCTCCAATCCATTCTCACATTCCTCCTAGCCTCTTCCTGTCTCAGAAGACACCCCAATCTGTCCCCATACCCTGCAAGCCTGTTCCTGGCTTGGAGGATTCCTCAATCCATCTCTGTACACTCCCACACTTGGATGTCATCCTAAATCCATCTCCCTACCCTCCCAGCTTCTTCCTGTCTTGGAGAACACCCCTTCCCACCCTGTCCCCCACCCCTGCCCTGTACCCAGTGACTCCCTGGAGATGCTGGTCCTGGCACCCTCGGAATCAGCCGCAGCCCGTGCCTTCGTCAGCCTGCAGGAAGGAGGGCTCAGAGCAGAGACAGAGGGCTTGGGGTGCAGGGGTGTCACCCAGCAGAGGGTCCTACCCAGGGATGGAGAAGATTGACACACTGGGCTTGTGAGCATGCTGCAGGTCGGTGATGTACATGAAGGGCCCGTGGAAGTAATGGAGCTGGAGGATGCAGGCCAGGAGGAAGAAGCCCAGGATGAGGATGTTGTAGAAGAGCTCGGAGACACTGAACTGCTCCAAGCCCATGTCCTTCAGCCTGGATGAGGAAGGGAGGGTCAACACGGGGCTTCATCCATCCCACCCTGCACAGGCATCAAGCCCCCAGTGTCAGGGTTCAACCTCAGCCTGCTCCATGCCTCAGTTTCCCCATGTGCAACCCATCCCTTAGCCATGCCCTGGTGCCACCACAGGGCTGGTGCCAGCAGGGATCCCATGGTGGTCAGGGACACTCACTGGTTATCAGTGAGGCCTGTCAGGTTCCTCCAGTACATGGGGAAGTCCTCAAACTGATAGGTGTAGCTGGCGATGAGCACCAGCATGGTGTATGCCACCACCAGCCACCAGAAGCCCTTCAGCACCTTGCGCCACAGGCTGTAGTACACCTGCAGGGACAGGGACATCAGTGGGGCCACCCTGGGGCTGGCCATGGGCCCCCAGGGGTCCCCAGTCCCCCTACCTGGAAGAGGATGAGGCAGAGGAGGAAGAGGAGCATGTAGACAATCTTGTAGACGACAAGGCGGCCGATGAAGCTCACTACAATGAACATGCCGCCACAGACACAGATCCAGAACTTGGCAAAGAAATTCAGCAGCACAGACCCCAGCGTCTGCAGCATGTTCCGTGCATGGTTGACTTCTGCAGGACATGGAGGGGACTGCAGGAGCCGGGCGGGGGGCACCTCTGTCCCCCCCATACCTGTGGCTGCCCAGCCTGGCATGGCGGCCCTCCGTGGGGTGACACCAGGAGGCCTCACCTGACTCTGAGAGGGACATCTTCGGGACCTTGGTGGTCAAGGGCCTCTTTAGCACCTTCTCCTCAATGAACTGCCGCAGCAGTGGCCAGAAGGGGAGGATGAGCAGGAGCTGTGGGGACAGGCGGTGAGCAGCGACAGCTGGGCACTGGCAGGGACAGGGACTGGGGACAGCACCGTGCTTACCTTAGCCCCCAGGACAAAGAAGGGATGTCTGTGGTGCATCAGCCCCAGCTGATGAAGACTCATGAAGCCAGCATAGGTGGGCAGCTCATGGACCAGGTCCATGGACCACACGTAGTTCAGGCTGCACAGAGCAATGCCGTAGAGGAGAATGAAGGGCGAGCAGAGCATGGCAAAGTTCCGGCGGTCCCGCACCGTCCAGATGAGGCATGACCACAGCAGCAGCACAAAGGTCAGCCAGCTGTGGTAGGTGATGCTCCACACCTGCGGGCAGGAAGGATGCAGGCTCAGCCCAGGAGGTGCCTTCCATGTCCATGTCCCCTCCCCATGTCCGTATCCCCTCCCAGTCCGTTACCAGCATGGAGATGAGGGCACAGATGTAGCTCTGTCTCATGATGAAAAAGGTCAGGATGCGCAGGGGCAGCCACTCCACTGTACGCTTCGTGCCTGGCATGGGGAAAGGGACCATGAAGGACCCCTGGCTGCAAGCAGGGTCTGGGGAGGGGGAGGTTGTGGGGTCAGGCTTACATTGTTGGGAGTTCATGACGTGGACTGTGCAGTTCTCAGTGTCAACGTTCGGCCCCTCAGAGCCAGAGGGCAACATGGGCTGGGGGGCAGAGAGAGCTCAGAGCCCACCCTGCACCTCCAGAGCACCACACACCCAGTCCCTGCCAGCTTGGGCATTGCTGGAGGGGTACAGCCCCCCAGACCCACCTCGGTGACCTCAGCCATGCCGCTGGTGTCCCCAGCAACACCACCCGTGTCCTCAGCCGTGCCACCAGTGAGCTCAGCAATGCCACCAGTGTCCTCAGCCACGCTGTCAGTGTCCTCAGCCATGCTGCCAGTGTCCCTGGGCCAGTTCCCCAGCTCCATCTGCACCCTGGCCGGCAGCTCTGGCAACGACATGGCTCTCTGCAAGGAGTAGGTGCCAGCTCAGGGCACCCCATTGCCATCCCCCTGCCAAGGCACCCCACATGCAGGCACCCCACTGCCCCCCAACTCCCCTCCAGTGTCAGGGCTGGGGCAGTCACAGCAGGACATGCTGGGCATTATCAGCATCACGGGTACGGGGTCCAGCTCACCGAGGAGTACCGCCGGCGCAGCTTCACCACGGTGGCCGCAGCGTAGCAGAGCAGGAGCAGGATGCCGGGGTTGGCGTAGACAGGCCAGGGGTGGCTGGTGTTGAGCTCCAGGGTGTTGGTCTGGGAGCAGTTGTGGTAAAGGATGATGTCCTTGAAGCCAAACAGTCTGTGGGGACAGAGAAGGCGGCCTTACCCCCCACCATGAGCCAGGGTCCTGTCTCGGCACTGGCATAGCACATGGCTCAACCAGGGTGGCACAGGGACTCATGGCACAGCTCCCTCCCCATGGACTCACCGCGCCCAGATGGTGGAAGGCGGGAAGATGCTCTGGACAAAGGGTGTCTGGTAGACATAGAGGCAGAGGAGGTGGCTGGAGCTGTAGACCCCGACAAGGACGTAGAGGATGTTGAAGGCCTGGCGGCTGGTGGGGAGGTGACAGGCCCACCACAGGCATAGCCCCAAGAAGAACAGGTAGTAGATGCTGGAGGAGGCGGAGGGCAGGGTGATCCCTGGGGAGCAGTGCCCCATGGGCAGTCAGTGCACAGCCCAGCATCCCCCTGGACCAAGCAGCATCCCACTGGGCTGAGCATCTCCCCTTGGACCAAGCATCCTCCCACCTTGGATCAAGCATCCACTCACCCTGGACCAAGCATCTCCTCCCTCCTGGACTGAGCTTTCCCTCTTGGATTGTAAATCTTTCCCACTTGGACTGTGCATCCTCCCTCCTTGGACCACGTATCTCTCCCTCAGAGCAAGCATCCCTCTGTCCATGGACCGAGCTTTCCCCCTTGGACTGAATATCCTTCCCCCATGGACCAAGCATCCCTCCCCCTAAGACCGAGTATCACAACCCTCTTGCACTGAGTGTCCCCACTTCGGACCAAGTATCCCTCCCCTGGACCAAGCTCTCCCCTCTGGACAGAGCATCTTCTCCCCCTTGCACACACATCCCCCCCTTGGACTGCATATCCCCCCCAGCAGCACATCCATGGAGGACCCCCACCTCACCACATGCCCCCCCCCATCCTGCACCCACCTGCCAAGGCCAGCAGCAGGTTGGCCAGTACCTTCCCGGCCTCCCAGAGCAGCCAGTGAGCCTTACGCAACAGCCGTTTGCCCAGCGGCCGGGCTGCGTGAGCCGCGCATCTGTGCCGACTCGTATTCACTTCCCTCTGCAAGGCAAGGGTGGTGTGAGCTCCAGGACCTGATCCTAGGATGTTCCTCAGTTTCCCCACTAGAGGGAAGGCAGGGGAGGGGTGGCCGGGAGGGCAGGCACAGTGCCCAGCACCTGGCCGTGTTTATCTCATCAGCCGCCTGGAAAGCGCCTCCAAAGGGCGACTGTTTTTCTTGGCACTGGGACCCAGGTTCCCAGCACTGAGCTTTTTTCCAGCCTGCCTCCCGTGCTGGCCAGAGCCTCACAGCAAAGGCATCCATGCTCCGGTTACAGCTTGCACGGCCAGAGCCAGGCACCATAGCCTGGAGCAGCAAGAGCACCCCAAAATGGGGCAGAGCACCCAAGGGTGTTCACTGCGCTGAGGGGGGGCCATTGGGGTTGTGTTCATCTGTGTGACCTTGAGCGCCTGGGTGCCACGAGCACAGCATCCCTGTGACCTGCTGGCATTGCCAGGCAGGGCTGGCACAGCACAGCACCCAGCCCTGCACTAGCGAGCTCAAGCTGGGTGCCAGCACCCCATAACTGCCCATCCCACAGTCACAGCTGTTTGGTGCAATCCCTACGGCAACACTGGAGCAAACACGGGCACTCCTCCACAGCTGAGTCATCCCAGCCCATACAAGGTGCCATGATGGCTGAGCCTTCACCGTGGCCAAACCTGCCCCAAACTGGGTCCCCAGCCACCAGGGATGCCCCCATGCCAAGCCCCCGTGTCCCAGGCTGTGCCCAGGGGAAGAGTCAGGGACCAGCTGCTGTGCCCCAGGGAGGAGACAGGGACCAGGGATCAGCCACGGGGAGGCTGGTGGAAGCCATTGGGATGTCCCAGTGGCACCGGGGTTGACTCTCACCAGCTCAGGGAAGCCCAGGAACTCCAGTCTCTGGCTGTAGGAGGCAGGGTAGGTCTTGGGCATGAGGCGGCACAGGCACAAGGAGATGATTGAGATCAGCAGGATGCCAACATCAGGTGCCACAAGACGCACCACGTTGGGAATGTCGCTCGAATACAGCCTGGGGGGGGAGAGTGGAGCAGGGGAGGGCTCAGAGGTGGCACCCCCCCATTGCCAACCCTCAGGTGCCCACCACCGGGGTACCCTTACCTTGTAACCCCAATGTGCTCAAAAAGGACCTCCCAGGAGCTGCCTGCAGGGAAGAAGGGAGGGGCACTGAGACCCTGCGTGGGCAGGCTCCAAGCCCACCCAGAGCACCCACCCCATGGGGAGAACACCTCACATCCATGGGGGTGCAGGTCAGGGTCTGTGCCCAGTGCAGTGGGCACTCAGCAGGTCCCTTGGAATGGCACAGGATGTGCCCAGAGCTGGGCACACGTATGGGACCCTGCAGAGTCTCATCAGCCCCTGAGCACCCAGCAGGATGGGGTCCCACATGTCACCAGCTCGAGGGTTCAGCCCCAGAGCACCACGGGGAGCAGAGGTATGGGTGGCTGAGGGTGGGCACAGGCATCCCCGTACTCACAGTTGGGCTCCCGCAGCCAATTCCAAGCAGGAATTGTGTACAGGCCTATCTGGAAAACCAAGTGGGCAAGGATGAAGAGGCTGCTGGTTGCCAGCAGACATTTGAGGATGCATCCAGCATGACCTGCAAGACATGGGCAACCCGTCACACATGGCCTGAGGCAGCCCCAGGGACACCAGTATCCCCAGTGGAGACCCAGCACCCTCGGGAAGAGCTGGTAAGAGTGCACTGTGCCCAGAGATGCCAGGGGTCTGCCCCAGGGACAGGGTCCCACCAGGGCTTTGACCACCTCACCATGTACCCAACACAGCCCAAGAGCACTCTGAGAGCATTACTGGGGAAACTGAGGCATGGGGTGGTGCAGGGAGCCAAAGCCCAGGGCCACCCTCCCTCCTCTGTCCCTGCAGCACCCAGCTGGCACCGGGCACTTCCCTGGCCCCGCTGTACAGGGACCACATTCAGATGCAGTCAGCATCCCCTTTCCTGGTGAAAGGTCCTATTAGGGGGCTCCAGAGGGTCCCCCACACTCTGAGTCCTGTCAGACCTTCCACCAGCTGCAGTCATGCCCCCATCCCACCCGGCTCCCTGGGCCATGTGCCCATTTTCCTGACCGTGGGCAGGCAGTGAGCCCACTACAGCTGTGAGCCGGCCGGGGGCGGCCCCGGGCCAACAGCTTTCCCTCCCGCCTGTTTTTTCCTGTAAATCCAGGCGAAGGCTTTCGGCAGCACCGGGATCCAGGGCCGTGCGAGCCCATGAAATATTCAGAGGGCAAAGCTTTTAGCTGTGGCCGTGCCAGGCGCTGGGGGCAGGTGTTAGAGCCTGGCACGGTGGGGATACGGGCACCCAGTGCCCACCTGCACCCACCGTGACACGTCCCCCGGGCAGAGGGGCTGCTCATGGTGTGCCCACCTGGCAGGCACTGCCCAGCCCTGAGGTTTTTAGGTTAATAAGGCTCCAAACTGGCCATTTCAGGAGGGCTATTAATAGCCACACTGGGTTATAATTAACGGAGTGAGGCTCCATGCAGAGAAACCACAGGGCAGGAGGGCAGGTGCCCGCTGGAGGGGGGCTGACAGGCCCCCTGCTGCCCACCCCATCCTGCTCACTCCTTGCACCCCATGATGAGCCACTTACCTGTGGCAGAGCCCCGTTTGGGTCCTGAGAACCAGGGTAGGATCAGCAGAAAGAGCAGGTACACCAGGGAGAAGACATTGAAGCGGAAAATGCAGGCTGGGGGCAGAGGGATAGGGTTAGGGATAGGGATGCAATGTGGGGAGGGTTCCCTGCTGCACCCCCCTGCTGCACCCCCCTGCCCTGGGGATCCCCAAAAGAGAGTCAGCCCAAAATAGCAGGTGATTCTGGGGTAATTCCAGGTAGGACAGGGGGTCAAGTTCCCCCCAGGGATGCTGATGGGAAAAGAGGGACACAGGCTGGGTCACTCCCGGTGACCCACATGGGTAGCCACAGAGAGGGGGGACACCAAAAGTCCCAAATACGTGGGGACTAAATCCATGACCAAAACCTGCTGCGTTTCCACATCATTCCCACAAAACCACACTTTAAAGGGACCCCTGCGGCCAGGCTGGGACCCACATCCATGACACCCCCCCCCCCAGGGCTGGCACAGCCCTTCACCTGCACCCAGCCCCACTCTGGGTGTGCCACCAGCTCAGCACCTTCCCCCTCACTTATTTTTAGACCTAAATTACAGCTTGTTTGGAGGAATGAAACCGTCGGAGGAGCTGGGTAGAGCCAGCGCCCTGCGGAGCTGCCGCCAGCGACAGGAACAGGGATGGGGACAGGGATAGCACAGAGGGGACATGGTGGGGCAGCTGCCACCCCGGCTGGGACAGAGCGTTCCTGTCACTGTATGAACAGTGACAGACACCAGCACATGCACCAGCATGAGCTGGGAGCATCCACAGGGCAAGCACAAGGCCACGGTGATGGGCACCCACCAAATGAGTGCCTGGCTGGAGAGGGGGAGAGTCATGGGGGGCTGAGCTATGTCACTGTGCCCCTGCTCCAGGCAGTCCCAGGGCATCCCTCAATCCCCTGTCCCACAAACCACAGGGACACATCCCTGCGCTCCCACCCAGCAGCAGATGAACCCCACTCTGGGTAGGGAAATCCCTCTGAAACAGCCCAGGGAGGGGACAGTCACAGGGAACTAGTGCTGGGGACCGACTCTGAGCAGCCAGGGCAAGGACCTGCTCCCCTTGGCACCTCACTTGGGGAGGGCCCAGAGGACAGTCCCTGGTCTGTGAGGCTGGAGGGGTGAGGGGAGGCCGGCTGGGCGCCAGGGACGTGCTCAGCGCCACAGCCCGGCACGGCCCTTCCTGTGTTTACGAGGTTTCAGTGGGACAACACATCCTGAGGTGGGGAACAGCACCACTGGGGGGAACATGGTGCAGCCCCCTGTGAGCTGCCCAGCACCCCAGGGCATCCTCAGAGGGTGCAGGGGCAGTGGGAGGGAGCACCCAGGAATGCACCCAGGGCACGTCCCACGCAGCACCTAGTGGGGCTAAAACTGGTCCCTGTTCCTGCAATGGGGTCTCCATCTGTCCCCAGTGCCAGGAGGTGCAGCCAGACCACAAGTAGGGTTGGGGGGCACAGGAAGCCCAGGGTGGGGGGGCACCACGACCATCACCCACCAGCCACCTCCCCACGGTGACCCCAGGACGCGTCACCTCCTGCAGGCTGCTGAGGGTTGCTGGCTGTGTTTCGGCACACCATGATCTCATGGAGCAAATATTCCCCTTCCCGCGCCAACGGGGCCGAGAGGAGCCTTCCCGGCACGGGGGCGAGACGCTGCTCCAGCTTCCGTGGGAGCCAGTCAGGCCCCGCTTGGCCACTGGTGCCCCCATCCCAGCACCCACCCACCCTAGTGTCCACCTTTTGGGTGAACCAGCCCCACCGTGAGCCCCCAGCCCAGCCATGGACACATCACAGGTGCTGGCAGCACAGAGGGCACCACAGAGCCCTGCTGGCATTGCTGGGGGTCCCACAGAGAACAGGGATTGTGGGCTCCGTGGGGAGATCCACAGGCATTGCTGAGCACCAGGGGAGCACACATATGCTGACCCACTTTTTTGGTGCCACCAGCACCCACGAGCAGTTCACCCTCCACCCCAGCTCAAGGCATCGCCATGACAGCTCCTGGCAGGGTGGCCAGCTTCAACTAGGGATCAAGAATGAAAAAGAGAGGGGAAAACAGGTGGTTACTGTGCCAGCATGGCACAGCCTGGTTTGGGAGCACCCACGGTGCCTAGCTTGGCACTCTCAGAGCTGCACCGGGGCGTGCCGTGCCAGCGGTGCGTGGGTGCTCTGTCCTGCAGTCAGAGGGAACCGGTTCCCCGCAGTGCTGACAGTGGGAAAGTGCCGGTACAGGGAGAAAAACCAGTTTGGCATGTGGGGAGAGTGTGGTGGGGAGAACAAACCTGCCCTCCTGCACCCACCGTCCCCACGAGGAGTGCTGGGTGGGTGGGTGCAGTGCCGTGGCACCCACCATTCCCCTCCCTGTGCAAGCAGCACCCTAACCCACAACACCTCGGGGTCTCACTGGGGCCTGCATCGAGAATATGCCTTATATCCCAAACCAGTTATCCTGGATTGATGCCCCAAATTCCCCCTCGTGACCCCAGGAGCATCCAGATCAGCTCCCATGGAGTTCACCAGCAGCGCTGGCAGCACATCAAATATTAATGATATAAATGAGCTGGGAGGAGGATCAATCACAGAGCCGGGGAGCTGGCTGAGATGTGCCAGGGTTCATCCATGCCAGCCTTTAATTTCCCCCTGGGAGGGGAAGGGGGTCATTGGGAACCCCGGGGATCCATCAACAAGATGGGGGCAGCCAGGAAGAATCGGTGCCAGAGTCTTTCCCATCGCACTGGGAAGGGCAGCTGTGCCAGAGGATTGGGGTTTGTTGTAGCCCCTTCCCTGCAAACCAGGTGCCATCCTGCACCCACCCAGCTTCCAGGATCGATCCATTCTAGAGTGGATGGGGAAGGGGGCTCCCCAGACCCACCCCAGTGCTGGCAGAGCCCCACACACAGCCTTTCACCATCACCGGTGTGCACTGGCGCAGCCGCTGCTCTGTGGGGACCTGCTGCCACTTGCGATTAATTAGAAGAGCTCTTTAATTCCCTGCCCTGCTCATTGACATGAGTCCGTTACCAGCTGCCAGAGCCGAGCAGCTCTGCCAAGCTGCCTCCCAGTTAACCTGCCCCAACTGGGGTGCCCAGGGAGCCTGACAGGGTCTCCGGAGTGTCACTTTGCACCAAGGACCCCACACACTTCACCCACCCGCTGGCTGCAAACCAGAGGCAGGGTGATGAATCCCAGCCACTGAGCCTTTCCCCATCCCAAAATCCCATCAGTCCCAAAGCAGCGAGCTCCTGGGCTGGCAGAGCCAGCCACCAGTATATTCCCAGCCCCAACTCTGTCTTCTCCTTCCGGGAAGAGGGAACAGCCCCACCGGTTCACCCACCGTATCCTGTTTTTGTGGAAAGTTAATCCCAATCCCACCAGCTCCCAGCCCTGCTCCCCAGGGATGCCGCAGGAGATGCCCCAGGCTCCGGGCTGGGTGCCAGTGGGTACCACAGCTGCCAGCCTGGGAAATCCCAGCACCAGCCAGGAGCTTGTGCTATGGGACAGGGAATGTAGTGGCTTGGGTGACAGGTGCCATCCCAGTGCTAGGGGACACTCCCCCATGCCATGGTTGCAGCCCTTGGGACCCCCAGAGCCATGGGTTCAGCACTGGGACACCCGGGCACATATCAGGACCCACATTCCCATCACACAAGGACATTCCCAGATGCCCCATAATACTCCCCACAGGGGCATGAAGGTGTCTGCCATATGGCAGTGCCAAGCAGTGTCCAAACCCTGCTCTCCTCACCCAGGGGGGGCCTCTGCACCCCTGGGGAGCCCCCCACGGTGTCAGCCACCTCAGTGGGACTGTGGGGGGCTCAGTCATGGGGAGATGGGCACCCTGGGCAGGCAGGAGCTGGCCCTGTGCCTCCATCCCATCCCCCTCCACCCGGGGAGGAAGCAGCAGTTATTGCTCTTGGAGACAGTGGTGGCTTTGCTTTTTTTTTTTTACAGAGTTTTTTTTCCCTCCTCTATTTTATTTCCCTTCGTTTTATAAAAAGCACCTGACCGCAGGAGGCAGCTGCCTGCAGCCCACACACCCACTGGCACCCGGCTGGGCACCGGACCCTGCAGCATCCAGGACCCCCAGGGACCCCCCCAGCATCCTGGCTGGGCAAGGGTGGGGCTGTGTCCTCACATCAGGACCCCCAGTTCAGGGGGCACTGCAGCTGCAGGGAGGGGGGCCCACCCTCACCCATTGCTTCTGCCCAAGCACCACTGAACCACAGATCAGCATGGCCAGGACTGTCACCCAGCCTAGGGGTGCCTGGTCCCCCCACCTGTGGGCTGTGCCCCCCCCTCCAATGGCTCCGAACACCCCAGAATCCCACTAGGCAGGATGGAGCCAAGGCGGGGATACAGCCCCTGGCGTGGCTGGGACCCCCACCACAGGGGTCTGTGCCTGTGCCAGCTGTGGGAAGTGGGGGGACTGCCATGGCCACCCCAGGCCACTCCGTGGGGCTCAACTCCTGCCTCTCCAATTGCCCCGAGTTGGCTGGGAGCCGCAAACAAACATCCTCCGGACGTTTGGGAAGAGCCTAATTGCCAGGGAAGGAAGGGCTGCAGGCGGGTCCTGCTCCAGGGCTCTTGCTCCCACCCAGGTGCAGCGGGACAAGCCACATCCCCCCCCCACCCCGTGCCTCAGATTCCCACGGGTGTGAGAGCCCCCAGACCCTGCTGAGTCACCCCATTTTCCCAAGCGGCTGGAGCAGAAGGGAGCCCCCGCCCAAGTGGGGCCCCAAATTTAAACAAGCCACCTACAAGCTCACCAGGGAGACATCAAGACCACCAATATCCCCAGTTGTGGGAGACAGGCTGTCCCCAGCATGTCCTGTGCTGGAGTGGGGTGAAGAGGCAAGCAAGTCTGGCACGATCTGGGGCCAAATCAGCATTATTGGGAAATGAGGGCCCCATGAGAGGCTGTGCCTGGAGGCCACGTGTCACCCTGGGCACCCATGGGATGCACCCGGCAGCTCCTGCGCCCCGGCCCAGCTGTTGCACCCCCTGTCCAGGGAGCACAGCCCCTTCTTCCCAACCCTGTTTGTGGGCTGGGTTATAATTAACCTCCTCACATCCTGCGCGATGCTCTGAGTCACTGCCCCAGCAAACCAAAGAAAAAGCAGCTTTTTCAAGAGTCACTGACTTCCTCTGCCAGCGAGGCTTTGCCCCGTGCCACCGGCACAGCTGGCACCCTAAAACCCAGCCCTGCTGCCCAAAACACAGCCAAGAACAGGGTTGCTCGGTTGTGGGCACATCCCTCTCTCTGGGTGACACTACCCCAAGAGTCATACTAAGGCTACCCCAAAAGCCATGCCAGGACTTCCCAGGGTTCAGACCCCCGGTGTAGGTCGTGTGATCCTTGTGTTGGCGGCAGCCCGACTTAGCCTATGCCAGGCACAAGGAGCCCGTTGAACAATCCTGTTTATAGAGAGGTTTTTCCTTTGCGTCTACGCAAACGGAGAGTCCCCGAAGCGGCTCCGGAGCAGCGGGGGTTCAAAGAGCCGATTCTTGTCCTTCGCGTCCCGGGAC